GGGACGGCTTTGCCTGGGCCCCCGGCCCCTCACAGGGCTCTTCCCCCCTCCCCCCCGACCGCCGGGCGCTCACCGGATCCGTACTTGACCTCGTGCGAGTGCAACCGCACGCTGTGCCGGGTGTTGAGCAGCTTCAGCACCGACCCGCAGGTGACGGCGCCTGCCGCAGCCTCCCCGCCTAGCAGCGCCACGAGCAGCAGCAGCAGGAACCAGAGGCCAAGGCACCTCATTTCTACTGAGCCCCAACCCTCGCCTCGCCTCAGGGACCCCACTTCCGCAGCCGGCGCCCCGGCCAATCGCGCGCTGCCAGCACCATAGCCGACCAATCCCTGCCCGCCTCGGTGCGGAAGTGGTTTCCACATTGAGCCGTCTCCGCACAAGAGGAAGGAGCTCATTGGTCCGGCGCTGAGGCTGGCGCAACCAATCAGAGCAGGCGGCGTGGCATCTCAGTCATTGCAAGAAGTCCGCGCTTGCTTCTGCTGTGGCTGTGGTGTGAGCTCAGTTTAGGTCTTGCTCGGGCCCGGGCGTCCTGCCTGGCATTAGGGTTGTCACCTCTGTCTGGAGCTATTCCAGGGGAGTTTTTCCCCCCAACATGAAATAATGTCGGTAATTTAATTTTCTGAAAATATCCTATTAAAATCTCCTGGATTGCTTTCAGTAGTCACCAGGAGATGGGTGCTGATTCTGGTAGACTCCCAGCCAATCCAGGAGGGTTGGCAACCCTACCCGGCATGTGAGCTACACAGTGGATGAGGGGTATGACCCCCCTGCCCATGTGTGATGCCCTGTGACCAACCCATGCCAAGCCGCTAGCATCCCTGTGCAAGAGCCAGGTGCCTGCAGCTGTTCAAGCAAACTCCAAGGAAAGTATCAGGCCTCAGCACAATCCCACGCTGCTGGGCCGGTGTTATGTGACATCAGAACAGCAGCCTGAGTCATTTTTTTCCCACTGAAAATGTGCACTTTCTGTCAAAGAGGTGGAAAATGTGACACCAGAACATTTTAATTCTTTTCAGGAAATGAAGAAAACAAAACCATTTCTTGAGGAAAGCAGACAACGTCTACTAACATGTTTGTTTAGGTTTCAGCAAAAAAAAAAAAAAATATATGTAGGAAAGTTTTAGATGGTCCTGATGACAAGGCTGAAGGGGTCAGGGAAGTTATGTTGGTGCATATCAGTTTGCGAGGAAAGCTGGCTGCTAAGTTTGCAAGAAATCCTGGAAACAATGTGTATATCTACACCACAGTATAGTGTAGACAGAGCTGAGTTAATGTTCAACCAGCTAGTTCAGGAGTCTTATCCATGGCAGTGAGAAGCTCTGCATTCTGGAAAACCCACACAAACAGCTGGGTAAAGTAGCCCTTGGCAGTCTCTGTGTTGCTGTGCCTAGGCTCTTCTGTTCTCAAGCTAGTTAGTATTAATTTAGTTCAGGTCCGAGTGTCTATACAACAATGCAGTCACTATGGTACTCAGCATATACCATAGTCCAAGGAGTGTAGTGACCCTGTCAGCAGCACAGCGCTCGTCCCTCACAATGCCCCCCTTAACAAAGGGTAGAAAAGCAAAGCCAGGAATGGACTGGCTAGTATGCATATGCATCATTGGTCCCAGCTGAAAGGAATCAGAGCTTCTGGACCATCTGGCATAGGCACTACACTGGTAATAGTTGGGAGTGATTTTCATGGATCTTAAATGATATATGAAGGCACTTTTGGAGCAGAAGGATCACGTTTTTATCCCAACTGCTCCCGTGAAAAGTCTATAACATAAAGCAATTATTCAACTATATATAATATTTGTAACAGAAAAGTCGATGTATAAAATGTATCTGGGATAATTTATGGATTCCTTCTTAATCCTTGTGCAGTTCTGCAGGCTAAAACAAAACCATTCTTTTTGTCTGTGGTACTGGAAAGAAGAGGACAATATTTCTCATCACTTTATCAAGAGGAGACAGCCTGTCTGGTATATCCCATTGTCGCATGGTGGTGTCAGAAAGTCAAGCTACCAGCTGAATGCCTCTCTGAACACAATAAGTAACTTGTCTGGGGTACAGCAAAAAAGCCCCCAAGAGAGTGAGCAAAAAGGACTTTCAGCTCCAGAGGTAAGTCTTCTAGGCTGGGGTAGTGCATGTGTTCAAATTAACAAAATTGCAGCACGGCTTTTACTCTAATTAGTTGGTTTGGACAGTACATCCACACTGCAAGCAAGCATGAGCATCAGAAAATATTCAGCTGACTTCATCTCTTCCACCAGTGCTGGATCTGCAAAGCCTTTTGCTTCCCACATGATGTCACTCACGGAATCACTCAGATGTTTATTATTTGTTTTGTTGGCCTTGACTGACTACATATGTAGAGAAGCATCTCTGACTTTTGGCTCGTGACTGTTTAAATTGTCTGTATTAAATCAAGCTTCTATCCTAAATCTCTGTTACAACTGTTCTTCCCCACCCCCGCGCTGTGTCTTTCTAGTAATAAACTTTTTTTTTCTTTTTGCTAGATGCTTAAGTGTCTGATCCTAAAGAAAACAAATGAGGCTGGTGTATTGTTTGACTCTCAAATGCCACAGTTATACTCCATTCTTAGAGGCTTCCCTCTTCTTCTAAGACAACAACTCACTTTTGTTGCTG